AAGTGAGTAAAAAAGCAAGTTTTGCTTAACTATTATATTTTCCGTGTTTACTGTGTCATCGTTGAGTTTAATGCTACCATTCAAACTTGCAGTGAATTTGTCGTTGTCTAGTTGTTGTTGATGGTTATTAGTGTCCTCTATAGATCACAAAGTAATTTCGTATTAATTATAATATATGGGGATCTGAACTCTGGGGAAGTAGAAAGTGTATTAAACCAAAACTACCAGTAATAGCTAATCAGGATTTAGCAAATCAAACTTTAATTTGTATTTCATTCCAAAATTAGTTGCCCTTCAAAACATTAAGTATATAAAAAAAAAACATTGCTTAAACTAATACATTTTAAATGTGTTTTTAGTACATCTGAAAGGTAATCATTTTATATTGTGATAAAAGGTTAATCTATAAGCAATTGTATGCAATCTTCCCTTTTGTTAACATAGAAAACGTTTTTTGTCTAACAACTACTACCATCTTTGATTCCAATGAAACCGTTATGCCTGTTTATTAGAGATTTATTTATTTTCTATTTTTTTTAGGCCAAAGGTATTTTACTTTGAATTGAATATATGTTTATCCATAACAACTAGAGCAGTTGAATCAGAAGACGAAACAACTTCGACATTCTTAGAAGAAGAGATTCGGCGTTTTGCTCAAAACAAACCAAATTATAAATAAGTATAAATAAGTAAAAACCCTCCAATAATGTATGTATGAAGTAAAAACCTTGAAACAAAAAATGAGAAACGATAAAGCCCTTAAAGCAATATATGTATCGATTACGACCATTAAAACAATATATGAGTCACGTAAAACCCTTAACAAAACACTTATACCAAGTAAAAACTCTTAAAAGAACGTGAGAACCAACAAAAGCTCTAACGAACACATGAACCTAGTAAAACCTTGCAATACGGCACGCGAAGTACTCCCAAAGTAACATGCGAGAAAATAAATCCATTAAAAACATATGAACCAAGTTACATCCGTAAGAAGAACTGAACTAACTTCAATCTGTAAAACATGAGAACCAAGTTACATCCGTAAGAAGAACTGAACTAACTTCAATCTGTAAAACATGAGAACCAAGTTACATCCGTAAGAAGAACTGAACTAACTTCAATCTGTAAAACATGAGAACCAAGTTACATCCGTAAGAAGAACTGAAATAACTTCAATCTGTAAAACATGAGAACCAAGTTACATCCGTAAGAAGAACTGAAATAACTTCAATCTGTAAAACATGAGAACCAAGTTACATCCGTAAGAAGAACTGAACTAACTTCAATCTGTAAAACATGAGAACCAAACGTGACCCGTAATACAACACGTGAGCCAGGTAAACTCAGTGAAACAATATGTGAACCAACTTAAACGTGCAATTAATAAAAAACTAATAATCAAAAGTAATTTAATCTTAATCACAACTAAAGTGTAACTTATAAGTTGAGGAAACTAATTCTGTATCACAAGATCACTAGAAGTAAGTAAGGTCATAAATAAACACACAAGAAATTTAAACCTGTAATGATTAAAATGCATTCAATCATTATTAGGATACTCGCGCTTTTACTGATAATTTTATTCGTAATCCAGCTTAGAAGATATAAGTTAGTCTGTACAGAGCTAACAATGCAAAATAATCTTCGAAAATTTAACAATAACAAATAATTCTAATAATATTCAAAGTTATTTTGAATATTGTAGCCAATAATATTAATGTAAGTAACTTTAGAGAAAAATGGGTTATATCATTATTTACATCATTACAACACGAAACTTGAACATACTCATAAGGTTCATGTACAGTTCGCATCCAACAACAAAAACTGATGAGAGGCAAAATAAAGGCTAAAGCCTGTAAACCTCTGTGTAAAACACAAGAACCAAATAAAGTCAGTTCTACAACAATGTCTTTCATAGGATGATTTAGTGACACCGAAGAGGAATGATTTATGACAATGTGTGTAACTAGGGCAACAGTAATTTAGATACAGTCCATAGCCAGCTCTCTATTGTTAAACCTCTAAGCGTGCTCACACGCACTTATAATCGAAAAGTTAAAAATTCTTTGTGATCTTGAAAAGAGATGCATTATATACTTCTTATACAACATTTAGTAAAGTTCGAGAAAACCCGTATAAACCAAGTAAAACCCGCAAATTTTCGTATATATTTCGCAAAGTTCGTAAAAACATGTGTAAACGAAGCAAATCCGGTAAATTAACGTGTATATTTAGTAAAGTTCGTGAAAATCCGAGAATTCGAGTAAACCAAGTAGTCTGTAAATTACCATGTTTACATAGTAACGTTTGAAAAAATTCGTGTAAGCTCACTTCATATAATGTAAATTAAGTGAAGTCCATAAAAAACCTTTAACCAAGCAAAACCCGTGAAGCAATATGTAAATTACGTGCGAAATTAAACGAAGTAAATTCTATGTAACCCCCATGTAAGCCTAAAATAACTGTAAAATATTGTCGTATGATACAAATAAAGCAAATGACGTTAGCCTTTCATCTTTTAAACTATGAATTAATATGTTTCAAGCTATAGTAAGAAAGTTCAGTGATAATGTATAGTTATAGAAACCTCAGTCAGAATCGTATATTTTACAGATAGTACCAATTTTCTAAAGATAATCGATATATATATATATATTCGTGTGTGTTGTTCTAACTTTAAACTTATTTGCCCAATAATTGTCACGTAGATCTCTGAACCTCTTATTCTCGAGCCAAACGATGACGTAGACAGACTGCGTTGAACGAAGTATTCTCGAACAAGATTATGACGAAGACAGTCTTCACTGAATTCTTTATTCTCTAAACTGTTGACACAAACATACTGTTTTGGTTGTTTATTTATTTGTTTGTTTAGTTTTAAGCACAAAGTCTTAAAAAGGACTATTTGCGCCGTGACTACAACTGGGATTGAATCCCGCAGTTCAGCGCTATAAGCCCTCGGGCTTACAGCTGAACTACCTGGGGAATGATAGACTGCAGTGAGCATCTTTTTCTCGAATCAGTTGTGACGTAGACTGTACTGAACGCCTTATTCTCGAATCAACTGATGACATATATTGTACTGAACGCTTTATTCTCGAATCAACTGATGACGTAGCCAGACTTCTGAGCTTCTTATTCTCGAATCGACTAATGAAATGAACAGACTACACTGAACGTCTTATTCTCGAAGCAGACAAACTACAGTAAGTGTCTTATTCTCGAACCAACTGATGACGTAATCAGACAGTAGTGGAGAAACAAATCGATTGAACACTGAAAAGTTCTAATCAAAATATGTATAACATTTTTGTCATATTTCGTGTTGCAAGCTTATTTGTTTACGATAATACTTGTTTTTGTATAAAATAAAAAACATCGTGCTAATTTACTGTAAATCCTAAGGATGTGATAACATTATCGAAAATTGATGAAATTGTATTGCTTTATACATACTTATATATATCTACTGTTTGAAACTTATAGCACGTGTTTCCAATGTTAGTCCAATAAAAGCACATTTTATAGAATTCTCAGAGCAGAGGCCACCAACTTTAACTAGTCCGCAGAACTCACCCGCCGCCATCAAACACTATCAAGGGTCACAAGATTTCCTCCACCAGTCATAAACCAAAAACGATACGGCAGTAACAGACTACTACCTTTTCCTTACTTAAGGTGTACAAAAAAATTAATAATCAAGTTTTATATTTTAATTTGCCAGCGTTAATACATCCAGACCTAACCTGCTATCATCACTTACAGACACCATTAGCTCTTGCAAACTACTTGTGATACTGTGATAGCCCCAAGTGGCTTAGCTGTAAGTCTGAGTGCTCACACCGCTAGAAACCGGGTTTCGATACTCTTGGTGGGCTTAACAACAAACAAACAAGTGTTGTTGTGATAAGTTTGTTTTTTTTTAGGATGCAGAGGTAGGCGCAGATTGCCCACCATTGGCTTAGAGTTTTCAGTTCCGTGCTAGGTTTATCACAGTATTTTTGTTTTGCTTATAACGTAAAAGCTCACTTTGTTTACATATACCAACCTCATTACTTGAAGAGAGGCAAACAACATCCAGAAAGGACGAATCACGAAAGATCTATGTTTCACACGTGTAGAATTCATTTCTAAATCAAATTTATTCTATTTCAAAACGCACAGTCTACGTTTACTTTTCCACGAAGTAAGTTGGTGGTATTTTTCCTTCGAAATACTAACTATTTCAAGAGTTTCTATGTGTGTTTGGTTTTTACCGTTTACAGAATTATTCAATAAACAGTGTTTTGAAAAAAAAACAGTTTCATGTTCAATGCTGTGGTGGTCTATCATATTTTATCACGACATCGATTGGGTAGACATCTACTAGTCAGAAGTAGCTTTTAATGTGTTTCAGGATCACATACTGCTATACAAGTAAGTATCTTTTTAAGTTTATAACTACAGACGCTGAAACTAAAAAAGCCATAAATCGAAATTTATTAATAGGGTCTTTTTACCAACGTAACTTTTTGTCTTCGATTGAAGAGCCCACAAATAATTTCGGTGGTCTATTCCCACAAGTTTTTTTTTTTAATAACTACTATTAAGTCATTGCTTGCAAATGATAATAGCAATTTTATGTTTGAAACTATTATCATATCAGAATCTGAATTTAATGTCATGGTTTTGATAACTGTCTTAAAACAAAAATTTTTTATTATTTTCCGCAAGTTTACTCTACACTCTAAATATTTCTGTCCAAAACCTTTACATGTGGCTTTTCTTAATATGCCATTTAGTTATGAAGTGAAACTCTTTTAAAGTATTCTGCAATTCTCGGAATATAAGAAAAAGATACTGATAAGAAGAACTTTCACACATAAACATTCAGGAAATTTGATGAAGAATCATTTTATGAACCAAGTTTATATTAGAACGTTTAACATGTGAAGTAGAACAGTTCCACTTACCATTTTATTGTTATCTTACATGCTTTTTGTTTACGCTTTTAGATGAACCGTCCAATCCAAGTAAAGCCTGCCGATAGTGAAAACAGAGGAGGTAAGTAATAATATATCTTTGTCTTACTATTGTGTTAACTAACTAACATTCTGATTGTAATATTTGGTCTTGTTTAATATAAAATTATTATTAGCTGAATTCAGAGGTTTGGAACTATTTTTCTTGAGGTTATTAAGAAACCCAAGTTCAGGGTACACTCCTTCCTCATACATCATTCTATGATAAGTAAGGAATTGAGGATTTTCTGCAAATGATCTTCGCCTCGCTCATTTATATAACGATTAGTACCGAAAAATAAGGGTTTCTATAAGTAATTAAGGTAGGGGTTTTCTTAGGATAGTCAACCAAACCTAGTCACACAAATCAGAAGTTTTCTAGGTACAATCTTTTTAATAAATCATCCTAAAGTAATATCAACGAAATTTCTGGCTACAGTCGTTTCAGTAAATTATCCTATGGTAGTCACTCAAGTATGGAGTTTTCTGAGTAAGTTGTCTTGGTAATTCCTCCTATTGTAATCGCACTAATTACAAGTTCTCTGAGTACATTCGTTCTGATAAATCACTCTATATAAATCAGCATATTTCGAGTTTAAACAACATAGTCATGTAGAATTATACACGGACTGTTCGTTACATTAAAATACTTTTATTTGCGAGCTTTCAGCCCTCTCACTGGATCCTTTATCGAGAAACAAGTATAATACTAATATTTTGTTCATTGGTCGTTTCCGACCTTTCGTCAATATCTGTATAGCCTAATTGTTAGTCAAAGTAAAAACCAAAGAATGCGACATTGCGAAAAGGGGAGACTTTAATATTATCCATGGAAGCAAAATAAACTCGCACAGTAAAACATTTAGGATAGCAACGAAACCATTCCCCAAACGAATCCGGAGAAAGACCCCTCATCCGCAAAATGAAGATTATTGTTACGATAGAGAATCCTCTAACCATAACAGGGTTTGCGATGAAGTTTGTACCATTAAAAAGATAATAAACACGGATTAGAAGTTGACTAAGGCTTATAATCCAAAGCTCACAAGTTTTCATCCATATCACCAAATCAATGGCTGATTTAGGGTTTAGTGAGAAACATGGTTGAAGAAACAGGAATCTTAGTAATTTCATTTAACCATATTGCCTATCAAGCCCCCTCATGCTGCTCCAATAGGCTTTTGTGTTTTTGGTATAAATGTAGGCCTGGAAGCTGAGGTTTAAGTGCTGTAGTGGGTCTGTGGAAAGTATGCTAAGATGTGTGGTTTAAGATTGACCTTGTCATATTTCGCAGTAACTTGTTAAAATGGAAACTGCGGTAGTGAGTAGTATTGTGTAATTATGGGTATTATAATGAGCACGATCAACGACCGAGGCCTGAAGTATCATTTTTATAAGTTCGATTAATCCTTAGTATTCTTATAATTTGATATTTAGTATAAATATTGGCGCTATATCTTCACAACTCGAAATTCATCTCAATCTTTGTAGTTTGTCCATACAACTCTACATCATTTTCAGCATTTATTAAGTAAATTTACTATTTGAGATATGTCTCAATTTCTGCATTTTATTTTTACAGCTCTTTGTATATTTGGTATCATATATGTTATGCACATTAATGTGAATATCCACTAGTTTATATTTACAGTTTTACGCGTATACCTAGTTTGCTGTTTACAGTTACATTTTTACGTGTATACTAACTTCTAGTGTTCAGTATATAAAACTTAGAAGTAATTTAATGCTTGAAGAATCAGGTCAGGTAAGATAAAATTAATTAAAAAGATTGTGTAAATAATCAAAAAGACATAACAAAAAATTGACAAATATCATCCTGTCCAACCGTTGTGTATAACGTTTGTTTTTGTTATTTATTCAAGTTTTAGCCGTCTTAAACTAATTAAACTTCGTGGTCATTATTACATGTGCACAATATGTACTATTTTGTTTCCTTGCTAAAGGGGGATGCATGTTAACAGGTAGACACGTTTAGAATAAAGATAACCAGTTCCATACAGCCAAGGAGTACAGTTTTAACACGAACACTAATTTCTAAACCACATTACACTACATCGCTTTTCTCTTAAATTAGCAACCTTTTTTATTTCTGTCTCTTTGAACAATATGAGTTTGATGGTATAAATAAAATGCGTGTCTATGTGCAGAATACTACGAAAATACATTAACACTATCCAGAACGAATAGTGTTGAGTGGTTTCATTTAGTGATAGGCTTCATGTGCTAATTGAGAATGACGGAAAGTATATTGAGCAATTTATTTGACAGTTTCTAAAACACCCTGTACCATATCCAAACTTTCCTGGATACACATTATGATTCTCGCTGTTCCTTCGATGGGATTTGGTTTCCCCATGACAAGTAGTTTTTAAGATATAATAATTTTAAATATGTGGTGTTATGTATTATAATTTCAAATAGTCTGAAATTGAGTTAATGATACTTTAAACTTAGAGAATAGGCTGGAGTTTCGCAATACATATTTAATAGTATAAGCTATGTATGTTTCTAAATATAAGCTTAATCTAAACAAACGTTGATATTAAAATAAATATATAATAACAAATTCGTTACAGTGATTTTTCCTTAAAACTTATCTGCATTGTATACATATTAAGAATAGATCATTCTCAGATTATGTTCGACCTTAAACAAAATGAAAGCATTTAAGGAACAGTCTCAGTTGGCCTACAATTTCTTTGTCAAAGTTCACTTGTATAGCAGAGACGGCTGATATGGGTATTGAAAACTTTTAGTTAAAACGCGAAACAAGTAACAACGTTTCGACCTGCTTAGTTGTTACTTGCTTTGTGTTTTAAATAAAAGTTTTTAATACACATATCAGCCGTCTTTACTACATATTTACTTCAAGTGGGTTCCTCGATATCATGAAAGTACATTTGTATTGATTGTTAGGAGTGTTATATCATGTCTAATTTATATCTGTTAAAATATTAAAGCGTGGCTAAATTGTGGTTAAGATTGTTGTTTCATCTTATTTTATAAGGCATAAATACCCTATGATGCTACTTTTTACAATCACTCAATCTTTCAAACCATCTAACCCGTATCTTGCATTTTTAATTACTTCTTTATTTTTATCAAACTGTTCTTTCAGCCCGAGTTCTTCAATTAGAACTATTAATTTAATATATATTATACATTTTGTGTCCATGAAGTTTGGTTTCCTCCTTGTTTCAGTTAGATGTGAACATGGTTCTTTTCTCATCCAATCAGATTTCCGTTTCACTTTTACCACGTTCAAATTTTAATATGTTTTATCAAGTTAGGCGTCCCTCTGCTTCCATTAAGCTAAATTCGACTTTATTCTTTTGATATGATTCTGCCCTATTCCTTTATATTTGGGATTCGGTCCTACTTTAACGATATTAAATTTCTGGTCGATTTCCATCATACTGAATTTCTTGTCTGTTATCATCAAGTTAAATGCTTTGTCTATTTAAATAAACTTTAATTACTAGTCTGTTTTCATCAAATTAAATTTCTGGTTTCTTTTAATCTTGATGCTGTTCTTGTGTGTTTTGATAAATTTTCCTCTCCTATTAAGTTTTCATCTGATTGTATTTTTGATCTCTTTAAATGAAATTGTTTTTCTGCTCTACTTGCATTCGTGATCTCTTTCAATCAGTCAGGTTACCTTAACTTTCATTTCTAGTGCATTTTTATCAAGTTTCATTAATTTCCATTTATAGTATGTCTTATCAGTTTTCGCCCCCCCCCCCCCGCCAGTGGCACAGTGGTAAGTCTGCAGACTTACAACGCTAGAATCCGGGTTTTGATATCCGTGGTGGGCAGAGCACAGCTAGCAAACAATTACCAGTTTTCATTTCTTGTATATTTTTCATCAATCGCATTTCCGATCTGTTTTGTCAAAACATATTTGGTCTACTTATATCAAGTTCCATCTCTGGTCTGTTTTTCGTCCAATTATCTGGTCTGTTTTCGTCCACTTATATATTTGGTCTGATGTCAAGATACAAGTCTGGCTTGTTTATGCACTGTTACGTGCCTAGTCTGTTTTAACAAGTTTGTATTTTGTTTTTGTCAAAATGTATTTCAGATCTTGTTGGTTTTCTGCAAGCCACCTTTCTGCATGGTGTGTTTTCGTTGAGCTACATTTTTATCTATAATTGTCAAGTTACGTATATTGCCTGTTTATCAATCTATACTTAATATTCTGTTTACAACAGTTGTACCTTAACCTAGTCTTTATTTCTTTAGTCTTTAACGTTTTTGTATATTAATTGCAATAGATGTTCTCCCATTTTATTAATTCCATATTTTTCCCATTTCACCAAGTATAAATTTCACATTAACTTTACCTAGAAAATATTTTTCAATCGTTCCGAAATCAATTTGAATTTTTCCAGTAGTTTCTCTTCTTTTTTTACCTTTTCTATATAAAGTTAACCTTCAATCTTTTCTCGATTTAATATTCTCGATCTATCTTCCACGGTTTCAGGGGTAACAAGTTCTGTCAATTAAATGTCACTATTCATAATTGTGAATGTCTTCTTCTGTCTAAAGCGAACTTAACTTAGCTATCAAACTCGTACTGCAAACTCTCAAAAACTTAGTTATGCAACGATATTGTATATGGCTGTCGTTGTTTTCACTTATAAAAAGCGACCTAATGCATGCATTTTCATTCGTAGTAAATAACGTGCAAGCTGAACTTACGGATACGACAGTTCATCTTGCATTAATTTCCAAAATGCCCTCTAATGTAAGACATTTCCCAAGAGAATGTAATCTTGAAAGAGAGGGCGAGAACATGTTATCACGCATACGTGTGTGTGTGTTTGTATGCATATATGTATATATATACTGCCGCAGGTTTTTCCATTAATGATTGAGCTGTATGCACTTTCTTTAGAAAGCCTAGGTATATATTTGTGTAAGGTACGTACCGTGATTTAGCCGGAACTGGTTTGTGTTGGTGACTTTATCTTAGGTACCTTGGGACTTGCACAATAACAGCTTTTAACTATCAGGTGATGC